TAATGGTAAGAACATTTTTTTTCTGAAGAATTTTATTTCAGGGTTTAATGACTAAAGCACTGGGAGTGTCTTGTTCATTAAATAGCAAATCCATGAAGTCTTAGTGGCTGTAATTTTGTCTTTTGAAAACTGGAGCTTGTAGTAAGTTATTTCTAACTTCTCTTATCCAAAGGAGAGCTAAGGTCTATAGCTTTTTATGTGACATATCACATCAGCTGAAACAATAATTAGAGGAGTTGTAAAACAATTAAATCAATGTAGTATGAGTAAACATAGTAGGGATAAACTTCATAGTTGCTGTAAAAAGAAGTTGTGTCTCTTTAATCAGAACTCTTTCCCTTTCTCAACAAAATAGTTGTTGAAAAGAATAGAATGTATTTTCAAAAACTTATTTGAAAATTCTTCGTAAAAAGCTTTAAAGGAAAATCAGAAGTCTTCGAAAGGATACCTTATAGCAGACCCTTTCTCACAGATCCAACCCCACAAAGGGTTGTGGAAGAGGGATATATCCCTCATACTGGAATTATGACCCTATCTTGAGACATATATTCAGGCTGAGCTTGCAACACAGGGAAGGATACAGATTAGCTCACTTGTGCTATTAGAAAAGGCCTAATGGTAAATTATCCCACTTTAATCAATGATCTCGAAGACAATGTAATGTACTTACTGATGAAGATTGCACCCAGAGTGAGGCATAGTAAAGAATGAAGAAGACAGATCAGAATCTTTAGGACAAATAAAATCATAGTGTACCTGTCCCTATCCACTGCCTCACATTCTGGAAGACATGATATCTACAGAAGACTTGACTGCTGAATCAGCTGAATGTGAACTCCAAATGTAATGCTGTGGTCAGAAGAGTTAATGTGATTCTTGAATGCATAAACCAAGGATGCAACAGATGAATTTACAGACTCATACGAGAGTCTTGTGCTTGGCATAGGTCTGCTTGCTATGTCACGTTTGATGGTAATTGTAACTGGAAAGGGTACTGAGGATGAATTGGAAGTTCCAAAGAGGAGAGAAAATGATTGAAAGTTTGTAAAATGTGTCCTCTAGTGAGTGCTTCAAAGACCTTGATCTTTTCCTATCAGAAAAAGGTTAAAGGCTGACCTGAGCAAAGTCTATGCTTGCCCACACAAGCAATGGGAATTGGATAATAAAGGACTTACAAACACAGGAATAATAAATTAAAATGGATGGAACTTTAAACTGGACACATTCAGGGCAGAAATAAATAGCCATTTGTTTAACTCCAAAGGTCATTAACCTTTGGAACAGTTTACCAAGAGGTGTTGTATGATCTTCATCACTGAAATCTGAAAATCAAGATTAAAGGCTTTTCTAAATGACATGTTAGAATAAACTGGGATTGACTGAAGGAACTTTTGTGTATATAAAGAAAGTCAGAACAGATGAGCACAGTCAGCTCTTGTGGCTCTATTACCTGTTCATCTGATCTATAAACAGAGAGTAATATATTGCCATGTTGTAAAGTAGGTATGCTGATAACAGGGTGCCTGAAAGATCTGCTAAGGTGGGTGGTGTTCAGAATACTGATTAGTGACCTCAAAAAAGTGTGTGACAACAATGAAAATAGAACTTTTGTCTTGAATGAGAATTTGCAAACAACACAAAAGAAAGTTGAAATTTAAGGCAGCCAGAGACATCATAAATGCAAATGAAATTGGCTTTTGCAAGTGATGTGTATGATTGCATAGAACAGAAAAGAAGCAGTGCACTATATAAATTGATGATACGTTCTTGTTTTCAATGCTGCATTCAGTGCTCTTCAAATGAAGTACAGCAAAATTAAAAATTTCTAAAGATGAGAAAACAAAATAATGAGATGATTATGGATGTTTTTGTATTAAATCTAAGATAAAGTGTAGATATACAGCTGTTGTGCTGTGACTTTGAGTGGCTTGTGTTACGGTGGTTCCTTGCATTTCTGTCAAACCCAGAGAAAGTACTATCCTGCTGTAAACTCAGGATATCGAGCTAGTCTAAGTACTGGTCTGATTCAGCATGAGGGAATCTGTGTTTCTATTATTTCTACGCTATATGAGTCTTGCAAGGCAATAAATGTATTGTCAATCTTTGCAAGAAAGTATAAACCAATAAGAAAAATTGGATATATTAATTTATTCATAATTTGTGGTATAACCTTTTCAAATATCTCAGAACTTGTATATAGTAGAATGTTTGTGGTTTTTCACAGAATATAGACTCAATAGTGTAATTTGAAAATAAAAGCTAAAAATATATTTTGAAAGTTCAGCTTTAAATATTCTTTGGCTTCCTAACCTTAGTTTAAAAGCTGATCATGCTGTCTCTAGTTTATTATAGAAAAATGTACCAAGTTGCACTGACTGCTGCATTCTTTGTCTGCTATCCTAATTTATATTTAGATGTTAGGTGTTGAGTGCAGTGTCTGATAAGACTGTGAGTTCCATAATGTTTGTAAATGAAAAAATAATATCCTGGGTCCTTAATACTGTATGCTTTTTACTGAGGATTGTGCCAGGGTTTATCTTTATGAGCCCAGCACCAAAGTATAAAAGAAACTTAAAGCCAGCAGTTTGCATTTTCCCCTTACTGTGACCAGGACCTGTAATTACCACAGTGTTAGTTGATTCTGAATTTTCCAGCATCGTTAAGCCAAAGTTCCTGCAAAGCAAGTACATTTAGCAATGAGAGAATGATTGTGAGCTAAATTGAAGAAAACATTTATTGAAAGCTTTATATCAGAAACGCTTACACAAGTCACTTAATTCCTTATGTGTGGATTGGAAGCGTTGCTACTTTAGTTTTAATTCTGCTACTAAGAGCTACTGAATTAGTAGCAAAAAAAAGCCAACTTCAGTTTTCTGTACTGATTTACATTCCGTTGTCATTGTGGTAAAATTCTGACTAACATTAATAGATGCTGCAAGAATAGGCTTGTATCTGTTCCCAGTTGTGCATACTCTGCCTGTCTTGAAGGTTAATTTATTTCCCAAAGATTTTTCATTAGCTTTTAAAATTAATTCTGTACTCAAAAATTAAGTTCCCCAAAAAAACTTATAGATGTACAAAACTTACCTTGATGGAAAAAAAAAAAAAATCTAAAATATCTGTTCTTTGTATACTGGCTCTTTAAGGCAAAAGAGAGGCCTAAGAAATTACGAGTTTTTTGGCTGTAACTTACATTGCATTTCTGATCATAGCTCCTTTCCAAATATGGATCAGGCTATGATACTCTTAGTCTCTCAGAGTAATAGCTCAAGTTGCTTTAAGTTACGCAATGTGAGCATGGATATCACAATAGGACTACTTGTAAATACAATATGATGTCGTGTTAGTAGAGCTGAAAGCTGAATCTGCTGTTAGCATTTGCTAGAAGCAAAAACTTTTAATTAAATATATTCCTTCAGCTAATTTACTATTGCTGTTAGAAGTTTTGGAGGTCAAGAGATTCTTATTTTCTTGAAAGACATTCTTAAATTAATAGTTTTTTAAAGGCAAATAATTTGAAGGTTGTTAAAGTACATAAATAACTTTTATCACTGATCTATCCAGTACCTTGTTTGCCAAAGTATTAAGATGCTTACGACAGGTGTAACAGATTAGATTAATTCCTGTTTTGTACCGAGTTGAAAATTCTTTGGCATTATAAACTGCAGAGCAAGGTATTGGCATTATCATTACAAGCAATTGACTGTTGGACTCAAGAGAATTTTAAAGAAATTAGATATCTAAGCATTTTAAATTTGGTAAAAGTTTTTATATTTTAAGTGGTTGGAAAACAGAATTTTGTTTATTGTGTGTTTCAGGATTTTGCTCTTAAGGAGATCCCAAACTATGGAAAGAAACCATGTAACAGCACCATGGATGTAAAGTTAACACATTGATCAGGTGTTCTCTTGAAAACCTTTTAAACAGCTTCACTAGATTTTGAGTATATTTATCTGAGCTGGGTAGTTCACCTTGTTAATAAACCAATGAAACATTTTAATAAACTTGGATTACAGGGGATGCAAATTGTTTGTATGCACATCTGTATATATGTAGACATTGGTTTTATTAGTAAACTGTTATCTTAATGCACTATTTTGAATTGGTGACATAATTAATTTAATCTTTCTTTTTTTTAGTGGTTTCAATTTCTGACTAAAAGAGTTTTAATTAAAAAAAAAATATATATATGTATCTGCTTTCTAAAACTTTTAATTTCTTTTTAAATACAATGTCATCTTTTTTCTAAGAAATACTGGAATCATTCCCGATAGCATTTTAGAAAGGAGGAAGGAATTTCAGTGACCCTGTATATCACTGATTAACTTTATTAAGACATAAAAATATAGATCTTTTTTAAAGAGCTTTTTAGACACAACAAGTAAACATTTATTTATTTATTCTTTATTTATAAATTAACATGCATTATGTCCATATTTTTAATTTGAGATGGAACCAAATTGGTCATTCACTTGGTGATAATACATGTTTATCATCTTGTTCCTTAACAAAATTGGTTAGCCTGCCTAAACCTATGTTCAGGCAGTCAGTTATCTAAATATGTAATCACGTACCTTTTTCAAATGGGATTAAAAAAAAAGAGCAGATACTTCCTGAGGTTATATATTTTCACTAGAAAGTTGATCTCTCTTACTCAGTAGAAAATAAGAGTAAAAATGGATCAGGTGCCCTCTTGATACAGACTCACTATAACTTCATCACAATTAATGACATTTTTGCCAACTAAAAACATACCCTCATATATATTAATTCATCGGGTAAGTACTTATTTCAACTATTTTACATTCACCAAGTTCACTGCCATATTCTATTTATTTCAGTGTAATTGGAGAATTCAATCCATTGGATTAAATTGTCCAAATGTTACTGAGGCAAAGCAGTGAATTCAAGTGAATTTTACATCCAGGAATTAAAAATACAGATTTAGCTTTTTTTTTTTTTCCTTCTCTGGCATATAATACTATAAATTAGTGACCTATTCAACATTGAATAGTGTAGACATTAACATCTAAAGTGTGGCACAGCTCAAACTTAAAAAAATTATCTGGCAATGAAAAACAACTTTGGTTCTTCACGTTTACTTCTTCTTGCAGTGGTTTCTGTACCAGTCCCATGCCTTACAGGGTTCCCTGTACAACAGAGAATTTCCTGACATTTACGTCTGAAATGGGCAATATTATACAAAATTGGATTGACAGCAGAGTTGGCAAAAGTGAATAACATTATCCAGAAGAAAACTGATGGAAAAATATTTAAATCTTGCTTGTAGTTCTGGACTAAAATTAAAAGAATAATTATGATAATTGGGCTCCACATGATGAAGAAAGAGATCATCAACACAAAAAGGGCTCGGAACAGTTTGTAGTCGTGCTGGGAAACACGAATATGATGATTTTCTGAGTAGGCCAAGCCAGCTTTTAAATTCCTTCTTGATGCTTTTGTAATCTGCAGTAAAAGGGATGAAAGTAACTTTAATTGAAACCTAGAAGTAACACATTCATACAAGTGCAAGAGTAAATCTTGGTACATCATGTTTCTGTTTTGAAAAGTGACTGCAAAAAAGGCATCGCAGAATTCCATTTTTACTTTTTGTCAATGGTTCCATGTCAAACATTCTCACTTTATTAGCTTTTTTTTTTTTTTCTCTCAGCTGTCAACTCACCTCAATATTAATCAAGCTGGTTGTCCTCCTCGTGGCTCTCCACCAGCCATAAATACTTTTCAGCATAAAACAGGGCTTTAATTACTCATGAAATCCTATTAACTTCAAATTATGACCTCATTTGTTCTATCTAAATAAACCCATTGATTTTTTTCACAAATGAAAATTGGAACATAGTTAACAATCCTTTTGATGTGCAAGAAGGAACGCAATCCAATTCTCTTATGGCCATGCTGCTATTATAAAGTAGGTATTAGAAGGAGCATGAATTTATTACCGTAACTAAATCATTATATGTTTTAAATTTGAATGGGATTTGATGTTAAATTTTGTGTAAACTTTTACTTTTTCGGTCAGTAATCAGAATTGCTTTCTATGAACTAACCTGAAATTTTACGGATCCTTTTGTCACTTTGAAAATCTGTGTCTTGTAAAAATACTGCCTGATGTAATAAACAAATTATGACTAGTTTGGGAATCTAGTATTCATGGGTGTGAATCATCTGTCATTAGGTAGAATACTGAATCCAAGTGGCTTGCGGGAAACTCTAAAACTCATGCTCTACATCCCTGTCTTCACTGAAGCTGGCATAGCACAGTAAGTCTATTACATTCACATATGTGATGCAAGTAAAATAAAACTGAAATATTTAGCAAACAAACATTTAGGCTAAATAACTGACATGCCATTTTACCCCCTACATGGGTAAAGCGGGGGTATTTTCAAAAGCCTGGATCAATTTGGTGTCTTAAGTAGGGAAGTCAAAAGGCATTAGACTCTTCCTAATGCTTTTATATGTGACATTTCTCTTTAGCAATGACTAAAGGAAGGATAATGCTAATACTAGTAATACTTAATATCTTCCTGGTTCAGGTAAGGATGAAAATGGTTATATGTATATTGAGTAATTTGTAATTCTTTCTGCAGTTTTCTGAATTTGTCACAGACATACATGGCCTAGGATAAACATTCATTAAGAATGTAGACATCTACCAAAGATTTCAACAGAACATAGGTGTGTAAATCAAAACCTGTGATCCAAAAATGGGCTTCTCAGCAGCTGCTGAGCCTGAGAAGGGGACAGTCTCATCAGCTGCTTCCCCAATTTAAAAGTGGCAGAGAGTTCTGATGTTCTGAATATGTAAAACTATTCCAGCCTGATGATCTTCTGATGCACCCATTTGGAATCCAGAAACTAAGCTAACTCCTCCAAGCAATCCGATCCAAGAGCTGTTCCCAGAGAGCACCTAACCTGCCTTAGTAAGAATGAAAGATTCATAAAGTACAAAGGACTAACACCCACTGCCAATAAAAAAGTGGGAAGACCAAGTTCTGTACCCTCTGCTCACACTCCACTGTTCAAAACAGCTACACAATGTCCTCATGCATTGGGTTTATGTGGTGGGGTTTTGGTAGTGTGGGAGGGACTACAGAGATGGCTCCTGTGAGAAGCTGCTAGAAGCTTCCCACGTCAGACCCACCTCTGGCCTAGGGCAAGACAATCAGCACCTCTGTTACACGTTTAACAGGGGCGCAGTGCATGGAGCGGTGGTGCAGCCCCAGCCCTGGGCAGGGCCCAGCCACAGCCACAGCCTCAGCCCCAACCCCGGTCCCAGGCAGGGCCCAGCTGGCCCAGACCCAGCCCAAGAGCCAGGGGCTTTTGAGGAGCCAACAAAAGTACCTGCAGCAGAGAGAGGAGTGGTGTGTGAGAGAAACAACAAGTTCTAGCCTCTTATCTAAGTCTTGCCTGAGAGGGGGAACAGTGCAAAACCAAATAAATTAATTACAAACCATAACTTCTGTCATTTTTGCCAGAGTTCTGGAGAGTGTTACACAAAAATAATACTCTTGTTTCAGATTAAATTGTAAAGTATACATTTGTAGAGTACATCTGTTAACAAATCTGAGGTCTTGTATCTGTAGTGAATCATCATCATCATCATAGATGCTGTGTTATTTGAATACATAAATGCTTTGAACTGCTTCCAGTAACACTGAGCATTGTACTCTGTGTGCACTGGCATCATGGAGTGTTCTCACAAAGTGAGAGTGAATCTGTTCTTGGGAATGACTCAGGGATTAAGACATTCTCCAGCTGAGTTCCGGTTGCTTCCTGGAACTCTGTGTGAGAAAGAAGATTCAATTATAACAGATGGGATCCTGCTATGGGCCTCATGCCTTTTTCAGTTCAGGAGAAACGGTAATGCATCTTATAGCATCTGTGTTACCAGCTTGGGAGAGAAATGTGAGCATGGCAGCACGGGGCTGTTTTGATCCAGTATTCCAAACACTTTTTTGGGCTTCTGGCTCCCTATGTGCTATTGTGTTTTCTAAGTCTCTAAGGACAAGAGGAACACCATAATTCCTGTCCTGGTTTCTGATCAAGGACGGTGGCATTCCTTGGCCTGTAGTTCTTTCAAAGGGCTGACTCCCCACTGGGTTACTGTGTGTTCTTTGCCTACAGCAAGTATGAGGTTGCAAAGGCAAGTGCTTTACTTCACTAGAAGAGGTCCACCTGATGTATTTACCTCAATGTTATAGTGAGCTTATGGACTGTACAGAAACTAACAGCTGATTATTTTGACTATGAGTTTAAGCCTGATCAATAGGCAAGTACATGTAGAGCCCAGATTCTAGTCCTGGGTTCATCAAAACATCTGTGTGCAGCTCTGGTGCACATACCCACAGCCCGTTGGTGCTCAGCATTTCAGCAGTTAATTTCCTGCTCAATAACCTGTGTATTTTGAGGTTCCTTTCCAAAACCTATGATTTTCCTTATACATAGTATGAAAAGATTAATTACCTAATACAGGAATCAAGAATCTTTTGGGGGCAGCTGCTAAAAACTATGCAGTGCCTAGTTTGAAGATTTCTAGCCCTTTCTCACTCTGTTTCTGGAAGAGGAAGGGGTATTACATCTGATGTTTTAGAAGGAATTTAGGTAACTATTATCATGCTTGCTAGATAGATTAAAACTCTGTGGTACCTGGTGTCTCAGCCTATACTTCAGCAGTTAAACAACATCCACTCAGAAAGCAAGTGGAAGCAGAGTGTTTAATTTACAGTTTTTGTTTGCAAGGTTTGCAATTATGGAGGAATAAGTGTATTCTAACGAGATCTATCTACTAAAAAATACATGCAGAAAACCTGTAGATCTGAAAGGGGATTGATTTTTTTATAGCCCTGTCACTCTTTGCTTTCTTACAAATCCCTTGTGACTCTGGAGTTTATGCTCAAGGAAAGCAAAATCTAGTTTTTAGTTATTGCAAATGCCTGACTCTTTTAGCGTTTAGGAGATTGACAGTCTTTAAATATGAACAGCACATAAATGGATAAGTGTATTAAATACTGTATAGAAATTGAGACTGACTTTGTGTTGGGTTTCTGGTAATGTGCTGTTCAAGCACATTCCTATTGCAATGTACAGGCTATTATGTACAGGTGAAGTGCCTTGTTTTACATCACACACTTAACATTTACTGAGCAAATGATGTCTATTCCCTTAAGGTGTATTTCTGTTCAGTGACAACATGTTGATGCCTAGTGAGTTACTGCTTACTTCTCTTTGTTCTGTAACAAAATTTAAAGGAAAAACATACCTGCAAGATTTTGGAGTAACTGATGACGATGACAAATCCTGGTATTAGAAAGAAAACAATGGCAAAGATCACATCCCAAACTATTTCTCCCTCAGTGCTGGGCCAAACCAAGGTGCAAATCTGAAGCTCCTGTTTACAAAGAACATAGAAAATTAACATTTTACAGTTATTTTTACTACGAAGTTGTCCTTATCTCCCTCTATGCCTACTGAGAAAAAGGCTGCAGACTAAACCAAGTCTGTGAAAACTTTCCACTCAAAAAGAGCCATTCATTTAATGTACCACTTCACGGTTTTAAAAGCCCAGTTACAGAGGGGTTGACCACAATCTAAATATTGCCATAAATTTCATATCAAATGCAAATAGCAACTTTAAAAATGGAACTTACAGACTTTATACTTAATCGTGTATTTCAGTGTCATGTTGGGGGTATTTTTGTAGGCATTTCAAAATATCACGAAGAAAAATCTGTGCATGGCCATTTTGTAGAGAGGCTCCTGGGCACCTCTCCCAGGCCGTGTGCTGAAAAGGGGATTTTCCAGCCGCACTGGGGAATGCAAAAAAAATCCCAGCCGATGCGCATTTC